GGCCGGGGGGCCGCCGGTCCCGCTCGAGCGGTCGCGGGAGAAGTGGGGGGTCCCGACCCGGGTCAGGAGCCCCGCACACGCGCGGCGCCCACGGCCGAGGCCGCCCGCCCTCACGCGCTCACACACACACACACGCCGGACCCCGCGACCTCACCGGGTCCTCAATGGCGGCTTCGCCCTCCTCCAGACCCGGCTCTTCGTCCCCCGCGGCCGAATCCTCCAGCTCCGGGTGCCCGGGGTCCGAGTCCAGCAGCGACTCCTCCGTCAGGCCGTTGCCGTACTCCGCCATGCCGCCGCCCGTGTGTGCCGCCGACCAGGCCCGGCCGCGCCGCGCGAATCGAGAGGGGGAGCGAGGCGACAGAAAAAGGGGGCTCTTTCGAGGACCCCCCCCGAGCTGATTCGGGCTGGCCTTGTGGCGACTCCGCTGGGCTCCCTCGGCGCCGCTGCCCCGGAACACTTCGATCCTTAGACTGGAAAATAAATAAATGTTTTTATTTTCAATTCTCCACTCGAGCGCCGCGTCTCCTCCAAACCGAAATGGAACCGTGGGGCGGGGCTTCACCTCACTGCGGTCGCCAACTCCACACCCGATTAGTCGCCGCGTCCGCCTCGGCACCGCCCTCCTGGCCTGTCCGGCTCTCTGATTGGCTTTCAGTCAGGTCATTTTCTAAAATCACGGCTAGGATGGCTTTCCTACCTCTTTTCTGATTGGATAGGGGAAACGTCCTTCATCTTAAGCCCAGCCTCTGCTACGAGCGTGATTGGCCGAAATATGCGTCGTTTATGACAGAGAGTCTCCGTCTAGTCGCTCTATTTTTGAACCGGTCTGCCCATGTCTGATTTTACACACATCTACCGGCATCAGAAAGCTGCTTATTCCTGAGTAAGGTTCGACCCGGGGACAGCCCGAACGGCTAGCGCTCAAGGACAGGGATGAGCTCAACAGGGCGCCAGTTCTAAGTAGCAAACCCCTCTACAGACACTGTTTAGAGACACCGGTGACCTTAACCTGTATGTCGTTGGGGAAACGGAAATACACAGCAGGGACACAGGGAACATGCAGACTCCACACAGAAGGAGCTAGTTAGGAATCGAACCCAGGACCCAAGAGCTGT